ACCCAGACCCTGAAGGCAATGGCAAAAGGAAAATCGCCTAGCATTGACGGTTTGACGGTGGAGTTCTACTCCCAAAACTGGGCAACAACGGGGCCACCGCTAGTCAACCTCTACAACAAAGTGTTGACCGGTGGCAGATTAGGAAGGAGGACGACGCACGGGGTAATCTCGGTCCTATTCAAGAAGGGAGACAAGTCGGAAGTGAGGAACTGGAGGCCGATCTCCTTGCTAAATGTCTCATATAAGATTCTGGCTAAGACTTTGGCAAGGAGGTTGGCCAAGTACCTTCTAGATCTGGTCGAAAAGGACCAAGGGGCGTTCGTGCAAGGGCGCTCCATCTTCAACAACATTGTGACGGCGATCGAAGTATTGGAGGTGGTTCAAGCGGAAAACCTGGACGCAGCGGCTCTGCTGATTGATCTGGAGAAAGCGTATGACAAGGTCGGGTGGACCTTTATAATGACAACACTGAGACACCTGGGCTTCGGGGAAGGGTTCTGCAATTGGGTGGTGGCCCTATATATGTTCTCCACCTCCTCAGTAATGGTCAACGGCTGTCTTTCAACACCTTTTCATCTGACAAGGTCATTGCGGCAAGGATGCCCGCTCACGCCACTACTCTTTGTCCTGCAAATGGAGGTTCTGCTAAATCGGATCAGGAAGCATCCGCTCATCAAGGGCATTCAGTTAAACGACACGGCGGAGTGCAGAGTGAAGGCCTTGGCAGACGACCTCTTCGCGGTGTGCCAAAACTCAACTCCAGCACTGACGGCACTGAAGAACACCATGCAAGAATACTCGTCTCTATCTGAAGCTTCGGTAAACTGGTCAAAATCAGTCTACCTGCTGCCACAACAGTTTAGACTGAGGCTGGAATAGGGCATGAAGAAGGTCGAGACAAGAGAAAAAAAAGATTCCTTGGGGTTTTGATTAGCCTACAGGTGGAAGCTTCTACGCAGGGACTGCTACTTCATAACAGAATAGCCTCAAGACTGAAGCTGTGGGGCATGGCCTGGCACCTATCATTGATTGGTCGGGCTTTGGTAGCAAATGTAGCCCTGTTTTCGATCCTATGGTTTGTAGGCACGGTCAGGGAATTAACAGGAGGTGTCTTAACTGCAATCCGCAGGCTGGTGGCACGCTTTCTGTGGAAACCGAAGGCAAAGCAAGAGGAGGGCTTCCTAGTCAAGATTGCATGGGAGCTGCTCACCTTCCCTCGCACACAAGGGGGACTGGGAATGTGGGACCCATGTGGGACCCAGCCAGGAAAAAACAGGCCCAGTTGAGAGAATGGTTGTGCAAAGTGGCGCTATCGGAAGGGGAAGAAGACTGGGTGCTGTTAGCCGAAAGAATTCTCATGAGGGAGTGGGGTCTGAGCAGATCGGAGGATGTCTGGCTCTGTTTTTTCACAGACTCGTTTAGAAGACGAAGACCGAAGTCCACCTTTTGGAAAGCCATTCTGAAAGCATGGAAGAATCTTCCTCCAGACGTACCCTCCCCTCCAAGCTCGAAGGAGGAAATCCTGGCACAACCTCTTTTCGAGAATCTGAAAATTCGGGCACTGAACGGTGAGTGGTTTGTGGCAGATGGGTCAACTGGATCCTTTGGGCTTGCCTGGTTAAGGAGAGGAGTCTCTAGGGTGAGGGATTTATGGTCCCCACTAACGGGCAATTGGAGGTCTTTGGAGGAAGCTAGGGAGCAACTGACCGGGCTGCGAAGGGTGGAAGAGAATTGGCAGAATCTGCTGATGGCAATACCTCAGGAGTGGCATAACATGTTGAGCCCGGAAGGAGTGGACCCTCCAGACAAATGGTATGTCGCCACGGACGACCCGGGACAAAATACCCTGTGGAAGGTGAAGGACATCACAGCCAGCGGGTTTCGACAGGTGGACAGATGGAGATGCACTGGACACAACAACAGACTGGAGCTACAGGGAGATGAGACAATCATGTGTTGGTCCAATCCACCTCAGGCACGAGTTACAGAGGTACGACCGGCTGGCAGACCCACAGGAGTGCTGGGTGGGACGACGGCCACTGAGTAAGCTGCGGATAGATCCCTTGGCCTGGGGGTGGACAAGTCACTCCGCAGTCACCTCAGAACCCGTCACACTTCCCATGGCTGAATACACGGTAAGGGAAGGATACGAGCTGGCATCCAGATCCTCAAGAACACCCGCCTCGGTGGCGGTGTCTAGATGGCAAGCAACACTAGGGGAGGAAGCATCGGTTGCGACCTCGCAGTTTGAGCTCCTGTGGAAGAACCTTACCCGTCTCCCAAATGGAAAACAGGTAAGCATCCTCTGGCTTCTCTCCATGCTCGTGACCCCCTCAGCCGGCTGGTTAATAGGAAGAGGCCTGGTGGTGAATCCGGGCTGCTCAAGGTGTAGAGAGCCTCATGAATCCACGAGGCACTTATGGTGGGAGTGCCCAGCTTCCAGACGCATTTGGAAATGGTGGGACCTTCACTGGAAAGAAATGAGGGGAAGACAAATGAACTGGGACGAGCACTGGGTGCTGCTGGGCTTCATCCCACCAGGGCTCCAGGGTAGCAAGGGCTGGGGATACGTGGCTCAAGCAGTTCGAGGTGTAATATGCGAAGTGATCTGGTACGACAGAAACAGATCAAGATTCGAAAAGCGCCCACTGTCAGATGTAGAGATCAAGTGCAGGATCAAGTTGGGAGTGAAGCAGGCGATCAGAGTGGACTGGAGGAGAAAAGCAAGGGCAGGGAGAGGTAACAGGAAGCAACGAGACTGGTTCCAGAAGACTTGGACCAGTGGAAGTCAGTTGGCGACGGTCCTTTCGTTCGTCCCGAGGCCTGAGGCTGTCAGATTGGGTCAAGAACGCAGACACCACAGTACGTAGGAACAGTGTTAGAATGGAAGGTGAAGTAGTTTAGACAGGCTGAGTTTACTCTTCCTCAACCAGGACACTCGGTTGAATAAGGCCGCAGTGGGCCGTTAGGTGAGTGTCAATAGGACCGGACTCTGTCCTCTGGGCCAAGTTAGTCCCAGAATTAGAAGCGGCATTTAGATATGGAGTTGGTGGAAAGCCCATGGTCCATACCCTGGTAAAATGTTTTCTTTGGCAGTAAGTATTGGTTCGACACAAACCACAATAGGTGCTGAGTGTAACTTCAAGGTCCGCCAAAGGTGCTGAGTGTAACTTCAAGGTCCGCCAACCTCCTTCACTTACCACGAGAGAGCAGTTCATTAGACCGAACAGCAGAGTTCAGACAAGGTAGGTGGGAACTCAATAGTGTCGAGTTCCGCAGGCAGGTGCCTGTAAGCTAAGCTGGCTGTTGCTGTCAGTACCCCGGGTAGAATTGTTAGGTCCCCGGCCTCGAATTGATATTATAATGAATTGTTGTGTTTTGATTTAAAAAAAAAAAAAAAAAAAAAAAAAAAAAAAGTTCCGCAACATATTAAAAAAAAAAAAAAAACTTTTTTCCCCCTTCTTTTCTTTTTTTTCTTTTTTTTTTTCCAAATAACATGATTTATTATATGATAAGCAAAGGAGGCCAGGAATCCCTCCACATCTCAACCCGGATGCCTGGGGCCATTACCCAGAATAGGCTGATACTGGAAAGCAGGTCCAGTGTCCCGTGCTCCTATTCAATTCTAGATCATGCTAACAAAACCAGTCACCAAATGGATTAACGAAGGACCAAATGGAACAGAGACAAACATTCTTACAGCCCTACCAAGAGCCATTCCAGGCAGGACTGAGCTAACTACTCCTGTGCGAAGCAAGTCTAGTCTAGCTTTAGAGCCTTAAGTCTGCTGAAAGGGACAAAGCCACGCAGACACTTCCAGTTTTCCTTCTTGTGTCACTGACGCCAGCTGACCCGAGCTGGCCCAAGTCTTAAGGAACCATATTGGACCTTTCCTCTGCCAGTCAGCTATTACAGTTAATCTGATCCTTGTCTTGACCTGAGCTTTCATCTGTTCGAGGTGCACTGCCTCGTCTCTGAAGAGCTTCTGGTTTCTCGCTTGCCACAGTACATTCATAATAATACCTCTGCAAACTTGGGCAATGTAATTCCAGCCTGAATCTTGCGTGGGTAAGGTCTGGCTGCAGCCTGTGAGAATCCAGGAGTCTGACCATATTAGGGGAGCACCTCCCCATTTGGACCAGTGGTGTCTCCACCACTGCCAGATTTGGATCGACTGGGGGCAGTTTATCCAAAGATGCGAAGTGGTTTCCAGGGCCCAGGAACAGCGAACACATTGAAGGGAGACCGACATTCCTTTTATAGTTAGCCAGTTAGCCGAAGGTACTGCCTGGAGAGATTGAAGCCACAGCAGACTCGCGTTCTTCTGATCCGGAAGCTTCTAAATCTGTTTCCAGAGTTTTATCAGTCTTTTCTTTTTTTCGTTTTTTCGTTTTTTCTTTTTTTCTTTTTTCTTTTTTTTCTTTTTTCTTTTTTTCTTTTTCTTTTTTTCTTTTTCTTTTCTTTTTTCCTTTTTCTCTTTTTCTCTTTTTTTCTTTTTTTCTTTTTTTCTTTTTTTCTTTTTTTCTTTTTTTCTTCCCAATCGTCCAAATGGAAGGATCATGCGGATCTTTTTCTTCCCATATTTCACGGCTGGATCGAAAGTTTCGAAACATATAGAATTTTTTTGCTGCCTTCATATCTCACGATCGGATTACTTTCACATGTCGCCAATCGGACGTCAGAAACCAATATCGGGACCTCAGAAAACAATACCGAAAAGAAAAAAGAAAAAAAAAGGAAACAAAAACACTAGAACAGCATTAAAAAAACACGGAAAGTGGGAGACCAAGAGAGCGAGAGAAAGGGGGGGAGGGGGGGGGGGGGGAAGATTGGA